TAACCAAGTCGATGCCTCGAGGAAGTTTGTAAGCAGGTAGGAAAGCTTAGCAACCCTTTGCTCCTAGTCTTGGTGATGGGCTTTTCAAAGGGAGACTGCAACTGAACCTGGAGGCTCCATAACTCAGTGTGTTTTAAAAGACAATGCTTCTGAACTCAGCCGTAAGGTGGCATCCGATTGCCTGAAAACCTGCTTAGGAATGATGTCCCCATACATCTTGCAATGATGTCCCCATACATCTTAGAGCACAGGCCTTACTTATGACAGTTCTTGCAACCAGTAACGCAAGAAGAGTCCAGAAAATTCACACTTCCGTGCCAGATTTTATCCACAAACTGGTTCTAGCATTCCTCACCTTCATCGGGAGTAGGACTTTTGTAAAGTTAATGAGCCTTGATTGCCCATTCAAGATGTCACCGCACTCAAAGTCCTTTCCATCACAAGCAGAGTTTACAGCTATATCTCATTGCTGTGAAGCTCCATTCCAGCTATGCTTAAGTGTGAGCAGGGAACCCTGAATGCCTAGGTGGCTTAATTCTGAGTAAGCAGGCTCTGGAGAGACCCTGTACCAGAACGGTAAAATTCTACCTGACGGATTAGGCCATTGATCTATGCAGTATGGAAAGGGACAGGCTCTGTGCAACTTAAACAGGTCACAGAACTTGGAAGAATCATAGAATAAATGAGTTGGAAGGCCATCAAGTCCATCCCCTTGCTCAATGCTAGTATCTAAATCAAAGGAAATCTAACAAACAGTTGTCGCATTTTCTCTGGAATGCCTCCAGCCTTGGAGCACTCACCAACTCCTGAGGTCACGGGGTTCCATCATCATACTGCTCTAACAGTTAGGATGTTTTTCCTGATATTCAGCTGAAATAAAAAATTGTCACAAAGCCTCTAGCCAAGGAGCAGCCACTGTCTTTCATTTTACTCTCGAACTGCTTCTACCTCCAGGATTTTTCCTCTTAGGTCAAAAATTCCTTTCTTGTCTTTTAAATCTACATCTTTAGGTCGTGTCCTTCGGGAGCAGCAAAACAGTGGTAGCCCTTCTCCTACGTGACAGCTCTTCAGAAATATGAACTAAGTAGTTACAAACATAGTTACCTATAACTAGTTAATTTTGAGTAATTCCAAAGTTACTTTTTAAGTCTCAACCATGATCAAGGCAACCCGTCTGTGCAGAAGTAGGGGAATAGAGCCAGGAATTCCTTTTAAAAGGTAACATCCAGCTTTCATTTGAAGACAGCGGTTAGCCAAGAAAGCTGATGGAAAAGAAAAACTAGTTTGTCTGAAAAGTGCTACAGGACATCTGTTTTGTTTCCTTGAGCTGCAACAGACTTTAAAACAGTTCCTGGCTAGATTTTTGCCGTGACAGCCTGAAGCTGCCTTTCCAATGACATTCCTGAACCCTGCTGGCTTCCATCCTGAATTTTGCCCATTTCCCCCGGGAAATGGGGAAAATTCTTTCCTTCCAATGCTATGGCACAGCAACATTTTTTTCCTGCATGCGCATCACATCTGCTAGCCACACACCTGATCTGCAAGTGGAGGGCTCCCTAGAGGGGTCAAACGGCCGCTCCATTCTGTTTGTGGGGGACAGAATTATAGTCCGACCCATCTGGACCGTGTCTGAGTGAAAAAAAGGATGGGTGGCGTACCCCTTAATCTCTGCCAGGGCTTCAAAAGTCACTTTAGCCATCCTGTGAAAGCTAGGCTGGTCTTTTAATTTGGTGAGCTCCACCGGGGCTTCTGTTATGTAATTTAGGGAAAATAACAGTCCTGAAATGCAAAGCTCCATCTCCTTTCCTTGATTCTCTGCCGGGACATGTTCCCAGGCAAGAAGAGCAACAACACGGTCTCCACACTTTGGAAACACCGTACGCCTCTCGGTTGCACGCCGTGTTGTGTCTGCTGACTGCACACCTGTGTACATTGGCGTACTTCTGACGGGATGGTGTAGCAGCGATGATTATCCCAGGGCAGTTTAAGCAAAAGGGTGTTCTCCATGCAGATCCTACATCAGCTTGAGGCCCAATGATGCCCCCCAGGAGTGAATTCCCGAAGGGCTGAAAACGTCTGACTGTTTTTCACACTGCCTGCAGTTTGCCGATTCGCCTGCTCAGGTTTTAAAACGGGTCTTTGGCTATAAACACAAGCATCAGTTTCCCGGCTCAAACCTGGCGCTCTGCCTGAACCACGTCTCTGCAACACGGCTAGATTTCCAGTTCATTGGGACAGGCTCTCTGCCTATTCAGTTTGACCCTGACCACATGGTTCTTACTCAAGCTAATCCTTCCCGGCCTCAGCCAATGTAGAAACATGCGCGCCCCAGGAGGCTCCTGCCACTCACCCGCCTGGCAAGGCTGTCGTAAAGGTTACTAACACAACACACACATGGAGCGTGTTGAGATTTCACCACTGTTATGTGGAGGCTAAGATTTTTGCTACAGGTCAGGGAACACACACCGGGGTGCTGTGGCAACATGCGCCTTCCAAGGATGTGGAAGCGTGTGTTTTAAAGGATGCTTCCCGTCAGGAGAGCATCAGCTACATGGTGCCTCATAAGCTGGATGAAGGAGCAAAATTCAGCCTCTCCTAAGTGGCTTCTCTAGACAGGGCTGAGAAATACCTTCGTCCTAAAACCCTCAGGAGCCATCCCGGCCAGTCACCACAGGTAACAACCATCTGCCGCATCCCCTGAAAAAATGGTGCCAGGGCAAAAGACAGGGACATCTCAGAAGCCAGGCAGAACTGGGAACGGGATTCCTCTGCCAACGAGGTGTGCCCTCCTGCCTGGCACACGAGCCTTTTAGGCACTAAAGCACAGGAACCCGAATCAACAGCACACCGACACACTTTGGGACAAGGGCTGAAACAGCCAGGCAGCCCACCTGACCGGCTCCAGGCGGATCGAATCTGCTTCCAGAAAAAATCTCAGAAGCCAGGCAGAACTGGGAACGGGATTCCTCTGCCAACGAGGTGTGCCCTCCTGCCTGGCACACGAGCCTTTTAGGCACTAAAGCACAGGAACCCGAATCAACAGCACACCGACACACTTTGGGACAAGGGCTGAAACAGCCAGGCAGCCCACCTGACCGGCTCCAGGCGGATCGAATCTGCTTCCAGAAAAAAAGCAAACCCCTCTGCCCGGGGCTCTCGCTGCTGCTGCTGCTGTTGCGGCTGCTGTTGCGGCTGCTTGCTGCAGGATTCCAGCCCCGGGCCAACTGCCCTGCGGAGAACTTTTGCGCGTCCCGGGAGGGCGCAGAGAGGGGAAAGCGCGCAAGAAGGTCGCGCAAGAAGCCTGGGGGGCTGGCGGGCAGGACGAGGCCCGCAGGAGGTCTTTCCCCCCCCCCCCGAGCCCCTTACCTCTGAAGGCCACTTTGGCGATCCGGTCGCTTCTCCCTCGCAGGTCGGTGGCCGACTTGAGGCGCACGATCAACGCCATGGTCCTGTTGCTGCTGCGTCCGCGGTGGGTGGGTGGGAGAAGGGGGGCCCGGAGCCTAGTGGTCAGAGCAGGCTGGGGCGGAGAAGGCGAGCGGGTGGAGGGGTCCGATCCCCCATCAGAGGCGCAGCCCCCTCCTCCTCTCTCCTGCTCCCTGCCTCTCCACCCCCGGGCG